GAGGGAGAGGGAAAGGGAAAGGGAGAGGGAGAGGGAAAGGGAGGGAGGAAGGGGAGGGAGAGGGAAAGGGAGGGGGGAAGGGGAGGCAGAGGGAAAGGGAGGGGGGAAGGGGAGGGAGAGGGAAAGGGAGGGAGAGGGAAAGGGAAAGGGAGGGGGGAAGGGAAAGGGAGGGGGGAAGGGAGCGGAAGGGAAGGGAAGAAAGAAGAGGTTGAGTTCTTGCTCGTGCTGACAAGACTGCGGGAATCCGCTAAGGAACCCCTCCCCCTTCTGCAGTGTCGCTAGTGGCCAGGGTAGGCAGGGGATGTGAGGAATCGTTCACTGGGGCCTAAAGACTTCCATCAGAAGAGACACCTGTGGCTTCTCCCCTCCCTGCACTGGGCCTGATGAACTTCATAGGAGCTACAAGACAGGGAACGACAATCCTACCACACGCCCAGGAGGAAAAATGTCCCATTAGGGACACGTGTGGCATCTCATTTGTTGAAAATTCTGAGATAGGTTCTACTGTTATTACTATTTTACAGATGAGAAAACTAGGCACAGAGAAGTTAGGTAAGTTGCCCAGGGACACACAGCTAGTGAACAGCAGACTGGGGACTGAAATCCGGGCAGTCTGTCTCCAGAGCCTGCCTCCCTAACAGTGATGGTGTGCTTGCACTATGTGAATCAGGCATGTGCTAAATATTGTTCTTAGTATTCATATATTCTTCACACTCACCCTCTTTTATGAGAAAAGCCAGGCTGATCAACAATATAGAGGTTTCCTGAGGTCCTTCACAGATAGTAAATAGCCTAGCTGAGGCTACACTCTGATTTATGAAACATGCAAGACTTTGCAGGACCTACGCTCAGCCACCAGCTGTGTAAGAACCTATCTTGCAGGGACCCTACGGGGGGCGGGGGGTGGGGGGCGGACTTGTGAGAACGCCCTGGGTCTGGTTCAGAGTGCTCTGTCGGCACACTCGCCCTCCTGCAGTCTGAACTTGAAATAATCGTCCAGGTCGCTGCCTAACACAGCGCTGGTGTTGCTGGCTGAAACCACATCAATCTCAGGTTTGATACGGCCTGTGACATTCGTTCTTCTTCACCCAGGCTTTAAAATAGGCAGAGTGGTTGAGGCAAAGTAATTTTGAGGGCAAAAAAAAAAAAAAAAAAAAAAGGCCTATTGCTTTTACTGAAATCGCACGCAAGCATTTACAATAACTAAGGGAAGAAAGAAGGAGAGAAACAGAAGGTAAAAATCAGAGAAGTGAGGTTAAGAGACCCCTGGAGAAGCAAGCCACGTCTAAGGGCCTCACAACTAAGGGGCTCAGTTCTGGATGCATGTGGGGAAAGGCGCTCAGCAGGTAAGCCACGGATCTGCCTAGAGAAAAAGAAAGACACCCTGGCCTCTGCTGGGTGACAGTGCAGACAAAACAAGGTACAGTCCGGCATGCATGGCCCATTAGGGGGTACCCTTTTTATGTTTTACCAAAAAATGTCTTTTTATCATTTTGCTGCTAGTAATACATCCGACACGACGAAGCCATCTTCCGTCTTGCTTTGTGGTAACTTGACGCGCACTTGCACAATGTCTCCTCGCTCAATGCACGTGGAACCCCGGAAAGCCAACCAAAGCCCTGAACCCCAGCATCAAACGCTTGGTTCTCTTGCTAAGTGAGCTGGCCTGCACCTCAGAAATAATTCTGAAGGCTTGTTAAGCAGCCTCATAATGAGAGAAGATTGCATTCATGCTGACACCTACACAGAATAGTCCATACCTGTATTTTAGAAGAATGCCACTTTCCCTCCTTCTACATGCTAGACATGAAAAACCTTAGGGATGCCTGGGGGTGCTCAGTCAGTTGAGTGTCTGACTCTTAGTTCTGGCTCAGAGCATGTTCTCACAGTTCATGAGTTCAAGCCCCACGTTGGGCTCTGTGCTGATGGTGTGGAGCCTGCTTGGGAGTCTCTCTCTCCCTCTCTCTCTGCCTCTTCCCTGGTCTTGCTCTCTCTCTCAAGAAATGAAAAATCTTAAAGATCTTCACATAGTATCCAAAGATATTTTATTAGTAGAGTGACTTCATAAAATGTTTGTTCTAATTTGTTTAGACAAGGAACACTTCCTTTTGTAGTTCAAGTCTGACAACAATACGCCATGAACTTTAAAGAAGTACAGAACAGGAACTGAGTCACTAGTTTTACCATCAAGGTTTTATTTCCCTTGCCTCTTCCTCTCTCAGCATCACAGACCGAACAGATTCGACAGCATCAGGAGTCCTAGTTCTTGCCTGAAGGTAAAGTTCCCCTCACTGCTCTGGGATTAAGGAACAGGAGCTAGAACACATGTACTTTGCTGTCCCATTCCTTTATCCCAACACTCCAAATTAACAGACGAAGGAGATTAGACAAGGTGTTTACAGTTCTCAAAAACAAATTCTTCAAGCATCTTCAAGCACTTATGAACACTTGACACTGTAATTAGAAATAATTATCTTCTCATTAAGCCTCTACCAGGCAATAGTGGTAACCTACTTTGAGTTACATGCACTAGAAAATGTAAATGTCTTCAAAATAGCTTAGAACTCACACTTTCAATTAATGGAAACGAATGTCTTACAAAATTAGTCTGACCTGATAAAAATGTACTGTATGCTGTGTAATCTACAGAAGAATTAAATTGGAGAGGAGAAGAGGCCAGAAGGGGCAGGCTCGAGTAATGAAAAGCAACCTGAATATCAACTGCAGGTAAAGGACAGCCATGGTCCTCTGGTGAGGAGACTGGAGAGGCATGTGAAGCAACAGCAAAAGAGGGCTACTTCTTTTTCTTTTTTAAAATTATTTTTGGGAGAGCACAAGTGGGGGAGGGGCAGAGGGGTAAGCCTGATGTGGGGCTGGAACTTATAAACCACGAGATCATGACCTGAGCCGAAGTCAGATGCTTAACTGACTGAGCCACCCAGGCTAGGTGCCACCAAAAGAAGGTGATTTCTAAGAAAAAGGAGTCTCTGGGCATCCCATCTACCTCAACAACAGACGAGTCTGGGAAAGGGATGTGAGCAGCTAACACCTGCCCCTCACCTCCACAGGTCGAGCACGAAGAACTCGGCCTTCTTGAAGGAAGGGCTCACAGTCCCTTCTGGAGGGGAGATCTGGGATGGGGAGTTCTAAAGGGGAAGCAGGAAACCCCAATTTTAGGACTAAATGCAGAATAAATGTCATGTGGCTTTTAGTTCCTACACTTAGAAGAAATGGGGGGATGTGAGAACCCCTGGGCGCTGAACTAACCCACCCAGTGGGTGTCTGGAGTCCTTCCCACCATGGGAGTTACTCCCCACCAGTTTCTGGCAGAGGAGTCAGTAAAACCTTTCCAGGAAAGGGACTAAGCACTAGCCT